GGCTTATAAATAACTTATAGCTTGTACTTTCATAACCCTAGATGGGCCGAGATTCCTTAATTTATTTCTTAAATGGACTATACCAACCAAATTAAGAATATAAAATCTGGGACATTACAGAAGCATCAACCGAATAGATGCAAGCTGATGAACAAACTGGAACTGATAAACCATCAATGGCGGCATTGCCAACTGAAGAAAAATGGCAGACAGAGTTGCAGACGGAAGGAGCTTTACTTTGATACCATATTAGAAATTGAAATCAGCAATAAACGAGTTTAGCACCAGCAGAAAATGAACCAGCGGGAAGAACGAAAACAAAAATTAAATGAAAGCTACTACGAACTAAAACCGGAAAATAGAAACCGAAAATAAAATGGATAGAACCTGCTGGAATGGCAGGGAAGAAGATGAAAATTACATTCATTCAACTTAAGAAATTACATTACATACTAGTATGTTTATAGAGAAATATAGCTAACAAACTGACAGCTGGAAGAAGGATCTAGAAGAAAAGCATGTGCTGGAGATAAAAGAAGGCAGGTGATTCATCAACAGAGAGTTTTAGGAAGAAGGGCTGCTGCTGAACGTGATTTGCTGCTGGGAAAGGGAATTTTGCTGATTTGTTGAACTTGTATATATTCCAACATCCCATCTACCAACAAGTGATTAATGCTGCAAACAATGAAGAAGCCATTGACAAGCTCTGTAACTTGTTCTGCAAGCAAAGATTGTGAAACTCCGTCGTAGTTCGAACTCCATTGAGTGGGAAAAAGAAGTGAACAATATGAGGAACATAAGCTGGATTTAGTATATCGGCAATAGTTAGATCATTCACAACGGCATGGATGAAAATAGCTCCAACACTGTTGCAATCGATGGAAAAACAAGTGGCTCCGCCATGGATTCTGGTGGTTGCTAGGCGGCCGGCTAGTGGACGAAAGAAGTTTAGTGTTCGAGAAAGCGATGTTTTCAAGTGATCAATAATGGTAACGGATTCATTTTCTGTTGTGGGCTTATTAAAGAGGAGGCCCTTCTGGCTATATTCAAGAAGCAACAGCTCGAGGTCCCATGGCGTCAAGTGAATCTTTGGTTCATCTTAACAGCCATCTGCTGTGGATTTGATTGTGCATTCTGAAATAACGTGAATTTCAGCCATTTTTCTTGGTGAAATTTTTGTTAGAGCTTGGAGAAGTTGAGGTTTCGGACTCACTAAATATAGACTATGGTCTTAATGCTATCCATCAAGCACTGAGATAAGGTAGCAAGTGGATAAACCACTAATGGCTGTCAGAAATGAGAGAAAATCTCCGTTCTCTCTCATTGTTGTGTAGAGGTAACAACCAACTTGTCCGTGTTTGGTTTCACATTTTTAACTAAAAAATGCTAAAAAATATGCAAAGAGGATAAGCACGGGCAACTCACAAATCAATGAGATAAGAATTTGTAGCTATCCCCATACACCAGCTAGCAACAACCTAACACTGCATATAAAGTAAAGGATTATGTATACGATTTAGGAGGAAAGAAATTGATACCATGGCCATGGCGCCATAATTTGATTAATAATTGATCAATGAGCCGAAAATCACATCTTTTGCATACAACAATTCCCACCCTCCTCCTCGTCTTACCTAGATCTTCTTCCATAGTGGTACGGAACAAAAGTCTCATTAATCGAAAGAAAAAACATATAATCAATATCCAATACTAATAATCAATCAAATAAACACAATTCGTTAAATATAAGTCAAACTGGACATAATCATTTCAGACACATTCCATATACACAATTTGATAGAAGAAAATACAAATTTATAATTAATTGAAAATTTGATTGAGAAATGAAAATTTGTAGTAGATGTGATAATTTGTAGAGAAACTATAGACAAATTTTAAAAAAATTAGAAGGGTGTAGGTATTCGTAAAAGGCACGAGAGAGAAAGTCGCGAAAGAGTAAGAGAAACGAGAAAATTTAAAATTTATTATAATTTTACCCATATTTGGTGGAGATTAAAATTGATTTTTTAGTAAATTTTAATAAAATTAAAAAGTTGTGAATCACATGAAACATGTCATTAAAATTAATTGTTAACTTTGATTTAGATTAAAATTTAAATTTCAATTGATACCAAACATGATTTTATTTAAAAAAATTCTCGAAAGTTGGGGGTCACATGACCATAGGACCCCGTGTTTGCCAGTGACCAAACCCGAATTGAACCGAATTAAGCGATTTTTCTTAAATTGAATACTTCAAACGGATATCTTAATCGAAAATCGACAAGTTTGATTCGATTCTTAGTTCCAACCGAAGAACCGAATCTGCCTAATTTTTTTTTTTAAATCTTAAGCCAAGTTATTTTATTTTTTTTTCTAAATAAATTTGCTAACTAATTAATTTAGTCAAAACCCAAAATATGATTTTATAGTTTCTAATTTTTAGTCAAGCACAACTTAATCAAATTGACCTAAGATTTATCCAAATCTCTTATTGTATCGTAATGTCTTTTCAGCCATTCTATTATTATAAACTTACTATCTTCCTCTTCCTGTAATCTTAACAGTCAAATATATGAAAAACTCAACAGATAGAGGCACAAAAGATATCGCGGGATTGAACAACGTTATTTTTTAGGAGCTAAGATTAAGCATATCATAGTTGAATTAATGGAGCATTATTGTAAATATAAAAACAAAAAAAAAAACAAATAAATAGTTATTGTATGGAACCCGAGAACCGAATGTAATCAAATTCGAAAGGATTCTGTAATTAAATTTAGACCCGACCGTTCCACTTACTAAAAATATCCAAAAATTTGGAAAGAGAACCGAATATAACCGGATCATGTCCTGCTCAATCAGATCAACTCTTTCTGGCTTCTTGAACTTCGTCAATTAGAGGTCTGCTCTTGATCTCTGCAATGTTACATCATTCAGTTAGTCTGTACGATTTTAATGTGGTCTATACAGTTCTTTATTTGGAAGAGTTCAATGATCGCTTTTTACCGTTAGAGACTAGCAAAAAGGAAAGAAAATCGCCATACGCTTGAAGGTTATAAAGCTACTCTGCTTCACTGCTTGGTGCCAAATAACAAAACATTTAGATGTTTAATCAATTATTGGAAATCATAATTGAGCTAGACTCAATTTTGAAACTCATTATGCAAGTGAAAATAACGAGATCAATTAAAGGATTGCATAATTTTATGTATTATAAAACTGTCACTCTGAATTTGCTTTTTGGAGTAGCTTGGCACAAGTGGACAAAATCTAAATTAAAGAAAAAAATATGTTAATGCATTATATTGGTATTTGTAGGTGTTACTGATGTGTGTTCAACATGTATGGAGTATGGTTGCTTAGATCAGGGTACCAGTTGTAGTTGTTGGTTGCAAGCTAGATAGGCGAGATGAAGAGTATAATTGGGACATTGTGATGGCTCCAATCATGCGACAGTTTCGTGAGATTGAGACTTGCGTAGAATGTTCAGATGCTAATTTGCTCCAGGTTTGCACTAATGACTGAGGTGTGTTGATTCATTATTCTTACGAGAGTTAGAATGTCCTGGCAATTCCGATAGATTCAATTTGTTTGCAGATTCCAGAAGTATTCTACTATGCCCAGAAGCCAGTCCTTCATCCAACGGCCTGCTATTCGATCAAGAAACCCTAGCTTTGAAGCCACGTTGCAGGAGAGCATTGAAGAAGACATTTGTTCTTTGTGGTCTTGATATGGATAGTGCTCTCTGTGATGAATAATTGAATGAATTTAAGGTCATTTTCTAATTTCTTTTCAATGCTGTTTCTTTCTCTCTTTTTTCATTTCCATAACGAGTTATAATTTGTGAGGAGAAATAATCATCTAATTTTTCTTGACTTTTAACATTTGGTCGTGATTATTAATATGGTGAACAGTTTCAATGCTCCGTTATAGCCTGCTGAAATTGTGGGCGTTGAGAGAGTGGTACAAGATAAGTTACCTCTAGGAGTTGATGAACTTGGGCTTAGATTGACGGGCTGATAAAATCAAGGAGGGGAGCTCTGATACCATGATAAAATCAAGGAGGGGAGCTCTGATATGGAGCTGGAAATGAGCAGAGAATGAACTAAAAAAACAGAGGATAAAAAACGGGATAAGGACCTGCTCAATGCCGGAAGAAGATGAAATTATTTATTCATACTTGCTTAAGGAAATACAATGTAAACTAATCTATTTATAGAGAAACACTAACAACCTATTTAACAAGATAACAAATTAAGAACAATCTAAAATAAGCTAGAATCTATAAGAAGAAGGATCTGAATTCTGGACTGGTTTGCTGAGTTGCTGGTTTGCTGTTGAGCTGCTGGTGAACACGTGATTGTTGGTGAACTGATTGGCTGAGTTATTTTGCTGTTTGGCTGCTTGAACTGGAGACATGAGTTTAGTATTCCAACACGGGCTTCCTTTTTCTGCATGCTCTTTTTGTTGAAAGAGGCCGAATTCAGAAGTGATCTATGATTGGATTAGATGAAAAAAAGAAGTCATCCATGACCGGATTACTAGGATACAAAGATGCACCAAACGCTTCGGTATCGTTAGAAAACATTTACTTGCTATTATTAGGTACAGATAGATGTCTTGTAGCCTCCCTTAAATTTGTGTCTACCAAAAATTGTTTTGTAGTTATGGAGAATAGTAGAGTCCTCAAAATGGGAGAAAATGCAGCTTTTTTCAGGATCCTGTTTCCCAAACTACTAAAGAAAAGCATCTGTTGGTGGAAACACATAATGACTTTGTCGCTTGAATGAAATTTGGAAATATATAAAACCATCAGTAGAAGTCGTTCCAGAGAGTCTACTGTGTAAAATGGGATGGCACATTGATGCACACTTTCAATCTTTTCTCCTCGAAATTCAATTACTTCAAAAACTAGTAAAATGAGGGATGCGTATAAAAAACAATCACTTTGTGTTTGAACATGTCCAGTGTTTTACAGAACCTATTCTTCGGAATTCATTAAATTTAGGAATTTGATCATTGCTCTTGCAAAACTGGCATATCCAAGGCCTTCCTACAATGGCTGTTGTTGTCACTCTCTTGTTCAATGGGGAATATTGGATACTATTGCCTTTTACTTGGAGATGGTTAAATGAAAACTTCCATTTCTACGATTGATTTTTTTAACCTATTGTCAGCAATTTTTAATATGATTTGAGATAAATACTGGAAGAGGCATATGATGTTGTTCACTCTGCTATTATATACACCTTTACCTGGAACTCATTTGCTAATTGTATTCTCCTGTAATTGGTTGCCTTCTTTATGCGGATTAAGTTGTTTGAAGTGGATAGATCCATAGCCATCTGCATTTTTGTACAGTCAATTCCAAGACTGAGGACAGATTGAAAGTTTGATCATGGTTGTGTCAGGATGTTATACTTGGTCTGGTCATTTCGGTACATATTTTATAGAAATTTTGTTCTATCAGTTCAGGGACACTGCTCTAAAGTTTCGCCCTGAATTCTGCTCTAGTTTTACATTCGTAATTTTACAGGATTATGTTTTACGGAATACAGAGCTTGAGGATTTATTTTCAACTGCACCTGAAAGGTAAATTCCTCTTTGCATGTCTTGTTATTTTTTTGTTTCTATTATCTCATTCTTACTAATTCACTGAAATGAGGTTAACACCGTCCTTGTATTACTTCTGGATCTGATGGGAAGAATCTTATTTACTTGCCACGGTTGGGGACATAATTCATTTATGGTCTCTCTCAGACTCTCACCATGCCCACCACCTGATTTTTGTTTACTTATTTCTTGTTTGCAACTATCTTGAGTGAGAAAGATATATGCTAAAATTAACATCACTTATTCACTTTATTTGGTCGCAAAAGTTGTGTGATCCCAGTCAAGATTTTAGTGAATGTAGTCCTGGATCAAATTCGATTGTGAAAAGTGATCATGTATTTGACCCCAAGTTTAGAGGGAATATGACTTAGCTTGTTGTATTAAATTCTCATAAATATATTTACTTAGGGAGCCAACTTTCAGTTCTATTGGCCTTTATAATTGTTGATTCTACCAGAAAGAGACATCTCTTAACATCATTCTAATATTTCTCCATTTCAGTTGTGTGCCAGTGGGCTGGTAATTGCTTCTACCTACCATCTATATGGACATTTGATATAAGAATAACAAATCTAGATGACTATTTTTCTTGATTGAAAGTTGATTCAACTTCACGGGCATGATAAATTTTGACAAGTGTGTAAAAGATGAGTTTATAAAATAAGAGTTTCACTAAATGCATTCAATATGCTGGTGATTTATAAAATATTGGATGTTGAGTTCTGCAAGACACTTGTTAATCTGTTTGTTCTTTTTTGTATGTTTCTTATTATCATCTTTTGTTCAGTTATGGATTTGCACATGAATCTGAGTTACTTATTTTTATTACCTTTCTGTATTTTATTTTTGACTCAGTCTTTCTGTTATAATTTCAGTCCCTGGGATGAAGCTCCTTGTAAAGATGCAGTTGAGAGAACTCCACTGGGAGGATTATCTCTCTCTCTGGGTTCCTTTCAGAGGTGGGTACACCAGGTCACTTGTTGCTCTGCCAAAAAAGAGCTATCTGCTTTGACAAAATGTGTTGTATGTTTTTGGCAAATGCTTTCTAACGGCAATTTATTCTGATACCTAGAGCTTGAAAGTTTTTATACGCAATAATTCAATTCGCAAGGGACAAAAGAGCTAATGTTATAGTTGTTTGATAGATTGATCTGTTGGAATTTAACTCCTGGTGGTTGTCTCTGGACAGGCAGACCAGTCGGGGTTTTATTTACCTGTAAAATATGAAAAGTGTACATATTAGTTCTTATACGCAACTCTTGGGATGTGGTTAGCATGGAATCAACGGCAAGCTGCACTGTTGTTGCTGTACTTGTATTATAACAGTCTTTAACATGATTAGAGATAAATGATTGTAATTATTTTCTATTGTTGTGTCTTTCCACTTATTTGCCAAATGGCGACAGTAGCTTCCAGCATACTCCATGGATATTGTTCTTTTAGAAAGATGTTTTCTTTTGGACTTCAGCTTTTTGTTGCTATTCACTATGTAGAATTTGTATTGCAATGGGCTCTTATGGCATTACTTGACCCAGTTCAAAGTCTTGCCAACTTAATATACATTGGTTACAACTGCAATGCTGCATCGGCCCTCAATATCACTAGGAGAAGATCAATAGACAGGAGAAAGCAACAAACAGAATGCAGTGTTTTCCAGTGCTTTGTTTTTGGACCTAAAAAGGCTGGAAAGTCTGCATTGTTGATGTCATTGTTGGACAGGTGTAGCTCTCAATCCATATCTGCACCTATATACGTTATCAGATGAAGAGAATTATTTAGTTGTCTTTGTCCAAATTTCTTGATACTTCCAGTTCGATTAGTAATAGCATTTATTTCTATATGAAGACAACACACAGCATAGACTCCATGTTCTAACTAAACAAACTATATTTCTCTGCGTTGTTTCTGTGTTTTATATTCCCCTTGAGGCAAATGCTGATTTTTTCTGTTTTTCTTCTGAAGACAAACCCTTTTCTGACAATTATGTTCCAACAACTAGCGAACAATATGTTTTGAATATTGTTGAACAGCATGCGGTGAGTATTAGTTGTTATCACCTTGTCAATGACTAGATGGATACAGTTTTCTTCTCTTCCTCTCACTGACTCTATCTATGGTGGGTGGGTGCATGAAAATGTGAAGTATGGCCTGAATTCTTTAACATTTAAACTGTGTGACTTGTGTTATGATGCTTTTGATGCAATAATCTACCTCTTCCTGAAGCAGGGTAATAAGAAAACTCATGCATTTCCGGAGATTCCAGAAGACGGAGTTAAGAAACTTCTACCGAATAAGGAATCCTTGGCTGATTGCAATGTAGTAATTTTTGTTTATGACAGGTGACTTATGTTGTGGCACAATTTATAACAAACCACAATTGGACTTCTCAGCTTTGAATATTGTGTAGCTGTGACACTTCAGTGATTTGAGCACTCGGCAGCCCCCGTCCTGCAAAAAGGAGATGGAATTAAATAAATTCACCCTACATACATGAATACTAGTGTTTTGATAGAAAATTTTATCAAATCTTCTGTATTTTCTGGGTATTATCCCTGGTTGCACAAGATCTTGTCAAACTCAATTTTTCTTTTTCAGCTCTAGTTGTGATTAGAGAAAACTTTGTGTACCCATTATTTGATTGATTGTGGAGGTTTTGAGTGGACTAGGTCACGTCGTTTTTATTCCTCACATTGGGGAAGTTTTTCCACGTAAAATAATTGTTTGTGTTCTTGTGGTTTGGTGTAATTGATCTTTTTAAGAAATTTTCAGCATATAGAATTGTCAGGAAATACGTTTTACTTATTTGCCTTTAGTAGAAGAATTATTTTGCTGTGTGTTTATTTGTTTGCATCTCTCGAGGCATTTTTTTACTGCCACTGCTGAAATTTTTAATTGAAAGTATCGGCTTCGCTATAACCGGATCAATACTGTCTGTATGTTTAACAAATATGTGCCGTGGGCTTAGCCATTTTTTGGGAAACACACACCCAGTTTGGAGATTTGACATTCTAATTTCTCCTAGCTTTCCAGCTTTAGTCTTTAAATCATAGTATTGCAGTTATTTGCCAAAGAAGTTTATAAACATTGTCAGACGGCAGTTTTCGGCTAAAGGGCATCATGGGTTATAAACCTTTGGAATCAGGGACTGGATTGATCTAAGGGGCTGTGATACCTTACGTGACCTGGTCTCTCACTTTCTTTAGAATGGCCATGCTTGAAATTGCAGAATTTGGAGAAATTGACACGAATAGCACTCTTAAATGGACTGTTAATGATGTGAACACTCTTTTCTTTTAATGAATGCTATTTCGGAAGGACGATTTTCATCTTTCTAATCGAGGGACTTGCATGTCAACACAACTTGTAAACCAAAGATTATGAGTAATATTATTTAGCACTACTGATATTAAAATATCAATTTAGGTGGCACTAATGTAATAATAAATGAGATATATAATTAAATGAATCACTTAATTTTACATTTCATTGATTTCTTTCACTCAATATCACCTAAATTGGTATTCTAACATCACTGGTGCTAGATATCATTATTTTAATATTAGTGAGGATTTATTAGTGATGACAATGGGGCGGGATGGGGGCATCCTCACCCCATCCCGCCCCACCACGCCACTCCCCCTCCTTGCCCAGCGCCTTACCCCGCCTTAGACGGGGCGGGGCGGGTACGGGGCGAGGATTTGTCTCGTTTCCTGCCCCATTTGTTTTTTTTTTTAATTTAAAATACAAATTCAAAATTTTAAAATCCAAAACAAATAATGTTCAAACTAACTATATAAATATTCAAAGCAAGCATTTGAAACAAAAAAATGTCCAAGACAAATATTGTTCAAAACAATTTTTTTGTTTTTTTTAATTCTTCACGGGGCGGGTTCGAGGCGGGGCCCCGCAACCCGCGACAGGGCGGCGAACCTCGCCCCGCCCTGCCAACCCGTTCGGGGTGGGTTTTTTTGCCCCATTCGGGGCGGGGTGGGGCGGGGAAAATTCCCATCTCTAGGATTTATAAATACAATGGGTCTGGCACGAATTTTGTTTGAATACACACAAGTTCAACTCAAATTCAAAACACTCATTTTTGAACTTCTGTACGATTTCAATTTGAGTAAGAACAATCTAAAACTCGTGTGGAGCAGGTATTAGTCGACAAAGAGCCACTTGAATCGTCTCCCATCTAGCTTGGCTCGTTAGGTTAGCCATCTTGCTCAACAAAAGTGCGACTCGGCTCGGCTCGGCTCGGCTCGGCTCATCCCACTAACGGATTGGCCGACACTTTAGAGTGCATTTATCGAAGGAGCACGAGTCTAAGAATTCATTCCTGGTTTTAAGAAATTTCATTGTGGAGCTGGCTCGCAACTCACCATATATATGTTTTGGTTCAAATTATATATCTTTCCTCTCAATTTGACGAGTTGGCTTGCAAATTGGTAAGCAGCTCACAAGACAAAAATCACTACTTGACTTGTCAGTGGAGAGACCCGAACCAACGAAGGGCTCGTCACGCTTAATACCCTTCTTATCAATGAACACTACATGAAACACAGTTCTTTAGGATTGGAGACAGAGAGAGTGAAGTTTGGCAGGAAGGCAATTGATGTGAAAGGAAATGATACTGGGAAATCAACGCGGTGAGTAAGGCGGTGGAAAGGAGAATCTAATTTTGATTCATACCATCATTCTCGTGAAGAAAATTTGAAAAAGTCAAATTCAATTCTTTTTTTTCCACCTCTCGGGGAAATCAGTAATGCACGGCAGAGAATCATAGCTAGTGGGCATACTAGAACAAGAATTTAAAAAGAATAATGCTATTTATGAGTATGACGATGAAATATCGGTAATAGCTAGTGGGCATTCTAGAACAAATATTTAAAAAGAATAATGCTATTTATGATTATGATGATGAAATATCGGTGATGTGACGTCTATATGGAATAATGAGATTTGATAGTTCAATTTTTATGAGAAAGAGAAATGTGAAATATGATAAGTTGTCACATCACCTATGTTCCATCATCATGGTGATAAATAACATTACTCGTTTTAAAATCCGTAATAAATTTGAGTTTTAAAGATTTCGTGAAAGCAAAGATAAAAAAAAATAAAGCAAATAAAGGGCTTCCCAAAACTGACATGAATTTTAAGCATTCATTTCTGGGAAGGCACGCCTTGGATCATCCAAATGAATTATCATCGTCGTCGAAGACGACAAATTCTTAGGGACTTCCAACATTAGAATTTGAAACCCAAACTTATATTCTTTGACACGGTGATACCACTCGAGGATCGCTACATGGATTAATATTTTGCATGCACATGATTTAAGTTTGGAGCATTACTTTGATGCCACTTAGCGTGATGCGACGATGTTTCGTTCTAAAAAGTTAATTTACTAAATATTAGAAAGGATATTGAGCCTAACTCAATCTAACAAAATTGGCTTGTTAGGGGAGAATTGTCCTCACCTTATTAAGTGGATCGTGTTAATATCATCAGTCAATATGGGATTCTAATAAGCCCCCTCACGCACAGCGTGGACCATATCGAACAACTGTGAACAAATCGATATTGGGTGGTACCCAACATTGCATAATTGAGCCTAACTTTGATACCATGTTAGGAATATTGAGCCCAACTCCACCTAATAAAACCGGATACCAAACAATTGTGAACAAATCGATATTGGGTGCATCCAATATTGTAAAACTGGGTCTGCTCTGATATCATATTAGAAAGGATATTGAGCTTAAATCAACCTAACAAAATCGGCTTGTTAGGGGAGGATTGCCCTCACTTTATTAAGTGGATCGTGTTAATATCACCAGTCAATGTGGGATTCTAATACTAGAAAAGTGACTCAATTTCTTTATGAACTTAGAATGTCTCACATCGAATGTGAAACTTATCTTCGCACCTAGCCTAACACGTTTCATGCATCCAATATCAATATAGAGTATAGCTTATAGAAAATAAAACCCTTTGCCAATTTTATTGTTATATTTACTAAAAGATCTAACGTTTCTAAACATTGAACAACCATAACAAACTACACTAACTTTAATTTTCCCCTCTAATAAAAGTTCTAACGTTTCTAAACATTGAACAACCAAAACAAACGACACTATCTTTAATTTTCCCCTCTATTTTTCTAACATATCGAAACGATCATTCAAGTTGCAATTTGAATAATTACAAGGAGACAATTCTCCTGATTCCCGACAGCATAGAATAGATTTTCAAAATCCACTGTCATATCCTAAATTGATTCTTTGTCTAGAGGCAGCCAAATAAGCATGAATATTTGTAATTGGGATTTGTCTTGGTTTACTTGTAACAAAATAGCCTACACTAAATATTTATAGACTCAAGAATATAATTCAGAGGATAGGCTATAGCATATGCCACAATTTAGTGGTTCTTTCTAGATTTCATTGAATTTCTCAACCCTTCAATTGATGAAAGGTTTGAACTCTAGGGTTTTCAATTTTCGTCTTTGATTATTGATTCTTTGTCTCGATTCATCTATTACATATTTCGTACACAATATTAATTTGTACTACTTATCCGTCTTTTCAATCGGTATAACATTCCAATTGAACATTGCTCGTTAAAACTGGATCATCCATGCATTCTTGTCCTCTTAAAATGCTAAAACGACCCAAGAAAAGAAGCACTCTTCTTGATGGAAAACCACCATGAATCAAGAATCAAATGCTATAGATAAGCATAAAGAACTTTGGTGGCCTTGCTTTAAAGCAATTATTTCATGGGCCCTGTATTTGTGGACCTTATTTCTTTTCTTCTCCTCTCTTTTTCATACATATATTTCATACCATTCTGTTCTTGTGTTAAATCCCATCTGAGTGCGATTCCAATTGAAATATATGGCACCAAAACGTCTGTGTTTTGTTTGTGAGTCAGCAAGGAAAAAGAGATAAAAAAGAAAAAGAAAAAGAAAAAAGAAGAAGAAAACATTCTCGTACGACATCAGCAAATTGTCTTGTGGGATTAGAAAGAAAAGGAAAGAAAATGGATTAGATTGATGACACAAATATTTATCCGCAAGACTAGAATCGATGCATTTTGAGAGGGTCCAATTTAATAGATGTGGAGAACAATGAAGTTAGGTGCCGTGCCGACCACCAACTTTGTCTACCGCATCCACTACGATTTTTGTGCCATAATTGTCGCCCACGGTCATTCGATTTCAAAATTGTACTATTAATTGCTAACCAGTTGGTCATTGACTTTTTAAAATGAGCAAATTGATCTTCGGCATTAGTCTCGGACTAACATAATCGTCGAACATTATAATCCGACGGGCCAAGATATTGATATAAATAGAAAGAGCAGATCACAACTCGTAACAAGTGGACGATTTATTGGTGATCTGTTAGTGAAACCCGAAAGGCAAATTTAGGTACAATTTTGAGGATTGATTGATCAATTGAAGATTGACCAAGGGTCCGTTTGATTAGATATGTGAAAAATGGGTGGAAAGAAAATGAATTTTAGAAAATTGAATTGCCTAGAAATTGTTTTATTGGAAATTGTAATTAATTGTGTTTGATTTGTAGTACAATTTTCTTGAAAGTTTGGTGTCCGTTTAACTTTTTTTCATGAAAATTGTTCATAAAAGTGATAATTTTTCTACCATTGGGTCTAAAATTTGTTCCAATTCTTAAAAAAATAATAATAAAAAATAAAAAATTTACTATACCAAATACCATTCATTTGGCTTTATTTTGCTTTGAAATTGTCAATAAAAGTGATAATTTTTTTTACCATTGTGTCTAGAATGTTTTTCAATTGCCAAAAAAAAAAAAAACCTGAAAAATGGATTCCCACCAAAACTTGAAGAAAACATTTTCCTCCAAAAGCCGGAAATGAGGCGCGTGAGAGAGTTGGAGGGAAAACTAATTCCAGGTCAAATTGGCGCTGTCAAACATTACAATTTGTGGAAAGTGGAAAAACTTTTCCAATTTCCTAGGAAAATTGCTTGTATCAAACATGGCCCAAATGATGTATTAGAGAAGAGTGATTGGTAGACCCAATAAAGTTTTCACGATAGCTGCGTAATCGGTCTCTAAAAATGGAAGAGTCCAATTTTGTAGAATTGTTAAGCTACATTGATGAAAATCTATCTCCTCCTCAAATTTGTAAACGAAAGGTTGAGACGAACATACTCTTTTTTTAAGATTAATAAACAACTTTATGTTAAGCTCCTATTTGATTTAGTTAAAAACGAAATAGCTAAAAATGAAATTTTTAGTAAATTTTGATAAAAAAATTGGTAAAATATATGATTGAACGGTTAATAAAAATCGTAGTTTGGACTAAATTTATGGATATCCATCCATGAAAAAAAACAACCTCGACAATGATAAAACATATCTGCACGCATTACGTAAAAATATGTTTATGTGGTGTAGTTTCAAGTGCTAATGACATATTATCCACACACAGACAAGATGGTCCAACAAAAGCTGTCTAAGAAAATGTGGACATACATGCTAGCAAATAAAACAACTTTAATTAATATTCTTATTTTCAACCTTTTTGGTAATTGGAAATTCATACACAATACAATGTAAAAATTGATTGAAAAACGATATTATTACAAGTCGAATTCTTCTTTATCGAAGGCAATGAATGTGGATCTTATTTCTTTGAGTAATGTTATTCATCCCCCACTGAGGTTACAAACACAACTTATGTGAATTATAGACCGAAACATTCTTGAAAATACAAAATCGACGAGAGATGGCATGGTTAATAGACCGAAACTACCGTAGATAATTTTATATGTGAATTATCTTTAACTCATTGTCAGTAAGTCGAAGTCGACGGTCTTGTACGACAAACAAAATATTTATATGGGAATGAACTTATTCACATGCTTGAAAAATCCAAATTTGAAAGGAGAAAAAAAAAATGGATTTTTGTGAAAAATCATATGATGCACTTAAAATGTTTGTTACATGTATGGAAGACCTAACTCCACGCTCCCGATCCAAATGCCCACCGCCCAATTTACCATAACACCAAAAATCTATCCTGCATAGGACACCCCACCCTTTAAATCTTAGGACCACCCTTCGTACCTTAATCTTGTACAGCCTTTGCATGGCTTGAGTTTGTCCATTAGTCTAGGCCATTTTGGAGATTCCAAGTTGCTTACATGTCTCGAGTGGCAAACGAAGCTCTTATAGATTGGGTTGAGAGAATAACAGCGGTTGTTGATGGTTAAATTGTGTAGCCTAATTGTTAACGTTGTACAGAATTCGTACGCAGATCTTCCAGATAATAAGATGTCCGATTTTTTTCTCTTTTAAATTTCTTTTAATTATAATGAATTACTATAACTACGGAAAATGACGTAGTCTCCCAGTAAAACGAATCTTTATAAATTTTTCATTTTCTTTTGTATATATTTTTGTACTATCATTCTATTACTTTTGGTGATATAGAATTAGAGTTTTCAATTCTTGAAGAGGTCGAAGTGAACATTCGTGCCAATCAATTCGTCTACTCAAACTTATTTACACGATATCCTTTAACTTCATACGTATGTATCTATAATCAATAGTCTCGACTCATCAAAAAAAAATTTAGTGAAATATAACTATAGTTGCAACTTGCAAGATATTATGGGGAGCCTTTGAAAGGGTTAACAGATGCAATAAACTTGGAAAAGAGGCAAGCATATCACATGGAATCAACGTCTTTGATGTACGTTTATGCTGCTTTGGCAGACCAATTGTGATGGCTACTACGCGTTTGGCCTACGTACACTAGTCGTACAGAAACCCCACCTTCCCATCAACTTGCTACTAAACCTATTTGGTCCACAATTTTTTTCTAAATTTAAATCCTAATACTAAATCATTCGCACATTATAGACAAAAAAAAAAAATTTAAAAAAATCTAGAAAAATATAATGTGGGCCCATTAAGATTCGTCCTCGGCTTATAGGGATTGTAAAATTTGCAGTTTAGAGTCGATTATAATTTATATGATTTTGTGACAGTGTTCGATTTATTGTTTAGTTTAGTCGCATAACATTTGAGTTGAATAAGTCAAAGTGGTCATGTGAGAGTACAATATCAATGATTAAATTTACCAATGAATGTGCTTTAATATGCACGTTGGTGAAAGAATCAAAGGGTTTGATTGGGCAATGTGTGTATGGAATGTGACCTATGAAAGTGATGAAACCTTTGAAGAATTCATTGAGTGCCTCTTTAATTTATTTTATACTTTGTTACAGGAATATTTCAATCACACATTTATACAATGAAATATTTTACACGTATATATAAAAAAAATTATCTTTTTTAACTATACATTCTTGTAAAAATCTCTATTCAAAACTCTTTTTTCCTACCAAAATGGTTGTCAAACAGGCTCTGATGAGGTTGGCCATTGCCCACTTGGTTACTAGTTCGTGCCATCAATCTCAACTTCCAAACTCTTGTTCCGTAATTAAATTTGTGGGCCCCCTTCCATGTGAGGGGGTGTAATGTATTGTGTACACCATTGTGTACACATAGTACAACCCTAAATAATAAGTTTTAAAACGAGTAAGCAAACGAAAATCGTCTAAGTTTCTGTTAAATCGTCAAGTGAACATTATATGTCTAACTTAATGAAGTTTTGTTTCCAACTTTACCAAATAAACTTGTAATATTTATGTTATTGAAGACTAATTGTGTAACTATACCGACTCGTTAATCAGACAATAGATTGAGGACCAAAGCCAGAAACTCATAATATTAAGTAACCATAATAACTACCGATTAGATATTTTTCCAAAGCTGTAAGCTTTAGGAAATAGCCACACAAAAATGCAAACTTGGCAGCCGCTTTCTGCTACTCCACTCTGAACTTCCAATTTTACACCTAATTTTCCCTCCATTTTCCCCCCAAAGTCCGCCATTAAAATCAGCTTCGCCTTCTCCTCCGCCATTGTTATTATCAGAGAACTCATTTTCAGTTTCACATGCATTCTCTTCTTCGTCGTCGTAGTCCTTTTCGTCAAGTAAATCTTCTTCTTCATTCTCGTCCGCCACTTGTTTTTTAAAATGCTTGCAGTCTTCTTTGGCCAAGGAAAGCCTTAGCCTGCCATTTTCACGTTCGGTTTGGAAATGAACATTGCAAGAAGATGAATTTACGGCCTTTAGCAATAGCCGGCCCCCTTCGCGATGAGTACTCACTCGAACACCATTAGAGCCACAGATGGAAGTCAATGGAGGTGGAAAGCTCCTGGTCTTACTTATCTTGGAGATATCTCGGGTTTTTGGACGTTGAGTTGCACTGGGATTTTGTCTGTCCATTGATAGAAGAGAAGTAAATTCATCCATGCCTCCGTTAATTTTGCTTCCAGTCTCACATCCCAAGCTCTCAGTGCAAATTTCAAGACTTTTTGTGCTCATTGCACGAGAAGACTGCTTATCGAGTGGATGCACATAGACATTATCCGAAGTGTAAGAACTGTTAGAGAGTGACTGTATAGAATTCCAGCCACCCAATTCACCATCTTTTTTGCTCCTTTCAATAGGATGATTGTTTAAACGGACGTGAGAAGTTTCTTCACTGCATAAACTTGGTATCTCAGTCCATGGAACGGATATGTCGGGCTTAGAAGGAGCCAATTGAAACATCGAAACAAGTGGTTCGACTAAAGAAGGCTCCAAACAAGATGGTAACCCTTGACAAATGTTTAAAGTAGAGGACATAATGGTTTGTTTCAGAAGTTTGTGCAAAAACAGGGGAAGAACAAAGGATTTTAGTTTTTCCAATTGTTGTAATTTAAGTGGTTTTTGGGATTTAATGAGATAATTTTGCTTAAACTAAGGATGGAAAATAAGTGTTTTTGGGTTGTGAAAATGGTGGCTAGTGGAGGGAGATAAAGAAATGGAGAGAATTACTTGAAAGAGAAGTGGAAGGTGTGGGGATGAATTTATAGGTACAAAAAGTGTTGAAGGGTGCAAGAAGAGGGGAGGGGAGGGGTCTTTTCATGCCACTAGAATTATTTAGTTTTTGCTCTACGCCACATATATAATTTGATGAAATAAAGAACCAAGGAAAAAAGGTAAAGAAAGATTGTATGAAGAAATAAAATTTATTTTTTTGTACCATCCAACCTTGTTCAATATTGCATACTAGACGAACCCTGATTTACTTTCACCATTCAAAATTTGCTTAATTTGATTTTTTAAACAAGATGGAGTCGTACTCAATGAAAATGTCCTAAAACATGATATTATAAATGGCTACAACAGTCCTTCCGTAACTAATCCGTAATATCAAATAAATCATTTTCGTCTTTGGTAAATTTACCAAGGACTATAGTCATAGTGATCCTCGTATTCAACTAATGACTTGTTTGATATGACTAATACTAGAACACCGAACAACAGTAAGAACAAAAAAAAGTTTGAATTTTATACATTGTAGTGCTAAATAAGCCGTGATTTGCTTCAACAATTTCAGATTTGCTTAATTGATTGGGAATTACTATAAATGGTTTGAAAAACCTACTTTGCAATCCAAAAGTAAGGCAAAAAAAAATTGTCCAGGAACAAAGGATTTCTTCATGATATTTTTTCTATCTTCTGCTCATCTCATTTGTGCTTTTACACTCACTCGCCTAAGGTCAAAACCTAAATTGATTATCTTTCATAGCATTTTGAACACAAACTCAATTTCCACAAGAATCTTGAACTTTGAAAATTAGTCCTACAATTTCGTGTCTAAAAGATTGGGTGTTTGCTTGTTTGGCCTAGCCTTAAGGTTTCTCATAAGTAAAAAAGAGATTGTAGCAACTCTATGTTGAAGTGAAAATGCATGAATTGTTCGTGTTATGAATTACAGACCTTAATTCTATTATCAAAAGCAATAAATTCGCAGAAACAAAATAGACACAAGAACATACAAAATTTATTGAGATTCGCCTCAATTCGAGATAACATTCTCTTCGCTATTGTAGTAATTCACAGTAATGAAAAGAAACCTACAAAAATAAAAAATAAAATCATACACCCTATATTTTGTAACCCCTCTTTTTTATGATGGTATCCTAATAATGATTCCCTATTTATAAGACAAATGGGTAAAATCGATTTGCGTACTGACCCTGCATAGCTGAAATAATTAGGTTTCACAATTTAACGGCTAGTTCGACTACAATGTCACTTTGTTTTTTTCGATACTATGATTGACGAAGAAGAAAAAACATTTTTCCTTTCAATTTTTGGCTCCCTATTGGTCAATCTTTTTGGCTCAACTATCTGCTCTGTCTTCGAAACACCATTATGTAAATGGGGTACTGCAAAATTCAGACGAATCATTCTTTTCAGAAGGCCTTTTTCAAGGGTCGAAATAAAAAGACATCCTTTTACTTTTATTATTAGAAATGTCTCTCTCTTAGCTAACAAGACACACAACGTCGAGTATGTTCTAACGTGTGGAATGCCAACTCGAGTAATCGGTCCTCTACTCGATCAGCTCGACTCGACTAGACTCAACACAAAAAATTCGGATGAATGGTGTTTTGTATATAATAATATTTAACGAATTGTTTAATACATTAATTAGAAAGAAAATCCTTTTTGACCAAACTTTTTTGTTCCAAGGTTGTACAGAAAAAAGGGACAAAGCAAAAATTGGCATTGAAATGTTAGGATTTTAATGGCTGATTAGATGTCAATTATCAAGTTTAAGTTATATTTGAAGTAGGTTTTAGCCGACAAGGAGCTTTATGGACAACCAATAAAAAAAAATAAGGTACAACTATGTAGACAAACTTTTTTGACTTCGGACTATGCTACACTCACAGAAAGGGGGGAGGTGGTTGATTTCACATATACTCACAAATGCAAGAACCGTGCTACATTCACAAATGTAGAGCTTCTGTCGTGCTACATTCACAGATGTAGAGAAGCTCTACAGATACACACATGGGAGGAGCGGAAAAAAATTCGAATAATTTTTTAACGAGCTGGACCCCACCTCATGTGAGGATCGGTAACACTTATGTGAAACCGACCCTCTGCACATCTGCATTAATCCCAAATGCAAGGGGTGCGTTTTTTTTATCATTTTTTATTTTGGTGGGTCCCACAAATTGTGAGTGTGTGAATCTTTTGTCAAAAATTCTTCTGTACATATGGTTTAATCCAACTTTTTTCTAGGGAGTCTAAGACAAAAATGGAACGTTAAAGACCTATTCGATTTGCAATTTATTGAATAGTATCATGAATAAAATTTATATACACTTTGAAAGATACGTGAAAATTCATGTTATTCTCAATTTTCTATAATGTAAATAATTAAAGTATATTCTTACTTTTCATTACTAATTTACCATCTTTATACCCTTATAAATAGAAATACCCTCTCTCACTAATGGGCAAAAGATTACCTAATTTCTTCTATTTTTTCTATTTATTTCCATATCTAGATCTTAATTAAATTTAATTTAGTTTTAAGGATGATTGTACATTTCATTAGTACAAATTTCTTTTTAATTTTTAACTTGAGCACAAGTAAGGTTTGCGTTTTAACAATATAAACACCATAAAATGATAAAAAATAATTATAAAACATTTTAATAATTGTAACAGAGAATCCTTCTTCACACAAAATCAATGCTACAACATTGGACTTTCTTATAGTGTGGGAAGACAATGGTTCATACCTACCTTGATACATGAAGATTTTGGATTTCGATTTGCAATTTTTTGAGTTTTTCCTCAATAGTGGTTAATTCGTCGAGAGTGTTAGAAAGTTCATCGACTCGATTCTGTGCCATTTCTTTATATGGTTTGCCTACAAGTTCTGCAAACTTGTTTAGAGTTTCGGTGGTCTCCGAGAACTCCTTTTGCATTGCCTCTTCAACCTGACGAGCCAAAGCATCAGCAGTTCGTCTCACTTTATCTATCACCTTTTGCCTACGGGCGGGGAAATTTGAGACCGCCAACAGACTATATCACAGACAGAATCAATCAGTATTTATTTAGAGTTGAAAACCTTGAAGAACATGATTATTCGACCTTAGACATGAACACAAACCATCCCACCAATATCAAAATATGAATTAGAATGACCAAACAGCCAATTAGAAGACAAACAAACTGAAAACAAGCCAAGGAGGAAATGTAAGATTCAGTACAGAGGACAATAAACCTATGGTCGTGATTTTCTACTTCTTATGGCATTATTGGCAATTAAACTAATAGAAAGTTTGGGGAGTAATCACTTGTGATCAAACGTATTTTTTATCCACACATTTCATAGAATCCACAACTACTATTCACTTATTATCTACACGTTCAAAATGACCAACAACTTATAATCACTTAATCACTTCCCAAACATGGACCAAGTTAAGGTCTACTCCTCTAGGAGATTATAAAAGGTTGAACCTTGATGAAGAGGAGCAAGTGTAAATATTTAGCATCAAGTTAGCTTTCCATATTAGCTACATAAATTCTACTCAAGTCGTGAAGTTTCTCTACACATATTGTCTCTCCACTCAAATATCGACATAGCATTCCATAGTGAAACGCTCGTAGACTGCTACAACAAATAATCTTGAAATGTCAAGGAAATAGCAAAAACCATGGGTTTCAATAGATAGAAGTAGTGAGGAAAAGGACAGGATGATACTTTAAATTCAGAAAGAGGTTGCTTACCCGCCAGCTGAGCAAAGTCCTAAAGCAAGAAGATCTTCTAAAGTGGTCGGCAAAATAGATGTCAGAAGAGATGCAGAAAGACCTGCAGCTCCCAGTCCACCAAAAGTCCCCACGAACTGATAAATAAGAGAAACCAAAAATGAGGCGTTAGATTAAATCATCAAACCACAATATTTTCCTACTGCTTGCAGATGCTTCCCAACCAGTTAACTTCCTGAAATCTTCCTACTTTTCTTTCTAATTTCAAGTCTTTTAAGTTATCCAGAGTGTTAACAATAAAGTGAACTGGACAGTGAATATTCAAAAAAATAATAATAATAACTCTCTCTAAATCAAGTGATAAAAATAAAATTGATGAAATTAAAATCTCACTAGCAATATTGAAGACTGTTTTCAAGACAAAGAATATTATGACAAGTCAGATCTAGAAGACAAGTTTTTGTAGAAGGAAATATATTGGCTAAATATTATTGGCACATGAGGCTGCCTAGGCTTGTATAGTGGTATAGGAGGTGATTTTACCAATCGGCAGCAACAAGGTTCAATTATATAACATTTGTCGGCCGTGCAATACAAACCGGTGATTTTTACTCATTCTGCTCCACCAATCTGGTACCAATTTCTACTCACTTTATAAAATATATGCTTACGATATTGCAGTATGTCAAGAACTTACCACTTCACGTATTTCTTGCTCGAACAATTTAGAAGCAGCTGCAGCACTGAAATCCTCAATGACTCTTATGGCCACTTCATGTTTTGTCCTCAGCAACTCATTGGCCTCGAACTGAAACTGGTCTGATGGAACAATGAAGGAAGGCCATCTTTTCTCAAAAGATTCTTTATACAAACTTCCTTGACGAGCATTGTTTGATTGCAGCCATGTTGCATATTCCCCAAGTAGTTTCTGAATATTTTTTGTAACGTAAACAAATAATATGTCCGTTAACAATACAAACAATGATGTCTGAAGGAAGTCATATCTCCATGGAAGTAGAAAGGTTAGATGCAGTAACAAGCATACAACTGCAACTTCAATTAGAATAAAGAATGGATTGCTGCACTCACTTTTGCTTCTGAAATGGCTGGGTCAATTGTGTCATTCCGAAGACTTGAGGTCACTGGCATTGGGGCAGATTTATCTCCCTTAAAAACATATGAAGTCACAAGGTCAAGATTCGATAGTTGCAGGGTTGATTCTGCAAGCTTGATGACACGTGCTTGAGTGTTATTAATCTGCAAACAATACAACAATTGTCTAAATCAATTCTGGTCATATATAAAAGGGATAATTGCAGCTGCGGTCCCAAACCTTTCAATTTTTTGCGCATTTTACCCTAACCTTTGATTTGTGCCAGTTAAATATGCGTCGCAGGTCCATTTGGACGGTTTCCAAAGACTTGAGGTCACTGGCATTGGGGCAGATTTATCTCCCTTAAAAACATATGAAGTCACAAGGTCAAGATTCGATAGTTGCAGGGTTGATTCTGCAAGCTTGATGACACGTGCTTGAGTGTTATTAATCTGCAGTTTTTGGAACAATACAACAATTGTCTAAATCAATTCTGGTCATATATAAAACCAAACAACAGATAGATTATGCAAGGTACAGGATGAGGAAATAATACACAAAGATCATACCAGAGACAAAATTTGTCTCTTCCAAGAAATGCTCTCGCGTTCCATTTTCCATACAAAATCTTTCATGTTACTTATAAGATCATTGACCAACACCAAGTCTTCTCTGGCTTGCTGGCAATCTTCACTGACATGCTTCTGAGAAGCATAAAGAAGCTGTTCCGCAATCTTAACATTAACCTAAAATAATTAAAAACAAAAAGAAAAAAACATGGAACTATTTATCTCCTTCTTCACCCCACCCCACCGCACCTCACCCCACCCCTCCACCTCACCCCATTGAAAATCTCCCACCACCGCCGCCATATCTCCCACCACCACTGCCCCATTCTAATCCCATTTACCCTAAAAATGTCCAACAAAATTGAAGCCCAACAAGAACCAAAACAAATTGCAAAAGAACCTTAACAAAAGTCGGTTACTCATCATCAACAACAGACTCGGTTTTCTCACTTTGAGGCGGAGCAGTGGATCCCTCATCCTCCTCCTGCTCCTGCTCCTCCGTCTTGCTCTCCACCTCCGGCTCCTTAACAGGCTTGCTCTCGGGCTCCGCTTCATCAGATCTGGATTTCACAATATCCAGCATCCTCTTACTGATTTCTTTGGAATAAACTTGAAGAATTTCAATCCCATCATCGTCAGTGGTCGCAGCAGCCCCAGAGGACAAAAATGCTTCCTTCTCGATCTTGGTCGCTACGTCCGTCGCCTCTTCGAGTGGAACAGTGCCATAACGCTTGGATAAAATTGAAGGAGAAGAAAGAGTCTCGATCGGGCGATTTCTGACGGCATCCTGAGTACGGTCAGTCGGTGGCCATATGTTGAAGGAAACATTGGAGAATTTTTGCGTGGTGATGGATCCGGGTTGTTGTTGGGCTTGTTCAGCTTCCGCCATTGGAGGGATCGAAGTGACTGATTGTGGGATTTTCTCGTCTGTAATTTGTTCTGGTTCTTGCTGGGCTTCAATTTTGTCGACATTTTTAAGGTAAATGGGATTGCGAGATGTGGCGGCGGTGGTGAGAGATTTTCAATGGGGTGAGATGGGGCGAGGTGGAGGGGTGAGTTGAGGTGAGGTGAGGTGGGGTGGGGTGAAGAAGGAGATGAATAGTTCCATTTTTTTCTTTTCTTTTTGTTTTTAATTATTTTAGGTTAAAATATGTAAAGTTACCATTTTGCCCTTACTAATTCTGGTCAAAATTACTATTTTCGGCTGACTACCAGTCAAATTGGATGGAAACCGTCCAAATGGACTTGCGACGCATATTTATTAAAGGTTTGGGATCTCCGCTGGCACAAATCAAAGGTTAGGGTAAAGTGCCAAAAAATTGAAAGGTTTGGGACTGTAGCTGCAATTATCCCTATATAAAACCAAACAACAGATAGATTATGCAAGGTACAGGATGAGGAAATAATACACAAAGATCATACCAGAGACAAAATTTCTCTCTTCCAAGAAATGCTCTCGCGTTCCATTTTCCATACAAAATCTTTCATGTTACTTGTAAGATCATTGACCAACACCAAGTCTTCTCTGGCTTGCTGGCAATCTTCACTGACATGCTTCTGAGAAGCAGTTTCTTCGACAAGGCGTTAGAATTGTGGTGTTTCGAGCTTAAGCTTCATCCTCTCAATCCCTGTACTTGTTGACCCATCTAAAAAGCTGTACAAGTACTTTTCAAGATCAGAGAAGTCACTGGCTCCCTGATATGACGCATTCATAGATTGTTCTTGTTCATACTGTCCCAGAACCCTGGAAGGAGAAGAGAGCTTTGCTTCAAGAGCACTTCTTGCTGATACAGGGAAAAGCATCACCTGATCAGTATTCAGCACCTTCTTTGCGTTTTCTTTGATAAATGTAATAGCTTCCTTAAGCTGCATTGATAACACAAAAATTTAATCAGAGAAACCTCTAGCATAAAGTTTGTGAGCACATCCTTCTTTTATCCCCATAATAAGGTAATCATTTTTTGACTTGATATAAACAATTAACTCTAAGAAAAAGATTTTGACCTCTTCTGCATTTTGATAAAGGTCAGACTTATTCAGCACAAACACAACCTTTTTCTTCCACTGTTGAATGTAGCGAAGAAAAGTAACCTGAAAGGCAACACAAGTGGATTAAAATCTTTGTCACAGGGTAAACAGGAAGAATAAGGCGTGAAAGGAAAAAAAATAGCAAAACGTTAATAAGAGGAACTACACATATACATGAACTCCTGCTTAGCAATATAGCTAAAGCAAGTTAAATATGTGAATTGCTGAATAATAAATATAAGGGAATGATCAAGGAATAAAATAAAATGAGAAGGGGTGATATTATATATAAATTAATGAAGTGTCAACTGTCAAGAGTTTCATACTGAATATCCATTATAAATATAGTATCACAAAGTAAAACCGGCAGAAAACTCTGGTCTGTTAAGTGGCTGTATGGCTCAATGGATTTTAACAACGTAGTAACAAACTGAGCCCCTGTATGGTTTTGGTAAAAAAAAAATCAAAATTTTAGCTGATTTTGATAAAAGTTCATGAAATGTGTGGTTGAAGAATTGATTAAAGTTGTGGGTCCCATGGAATTTGTGGTTGAAAATAAATTTTACAAAATGGGGATCAAACAGGGGCTGAGTAAACCCTCATCAACTTTATTGAGACATGAAAGCATCTGGTTGGATGATTTATTTAGGTGCCGATAGAACATTAGGCTTGTAAAACAGTTCAAGGGTGTGGGGAGTTTCAGGGGTGAATAACTAAACATCGCTCTAATCAACCCAAAACAATTCATTTCCCACTCCATAAAGAATCCTCAATCAAATAACTTAACAAATCAAAGATCTCCAGTTTACAACTCCAAAGAAAATATTCTCTTCTCGACAACAGTAGATAAAAGATGAATGAGAATAGAAAGTATCCAAAGGCATTGTTGTACTAACAGTGGCAACTAGATCGTACCTCACTTTCAGTCAACGGCCGATCGGCAGAGATAACAAAAAGAATTAAATCTGCACGGGGCACAAATTCCTCCGTGAGGCGTTGTTGCCTTTGAAGAATCACATTTGTTCCAGGCGTATCAGCAATTATCATCTGCTTGGGGTAGAAGAAGTGAGAAAATTATGTGAGATAGTTTAGCCAGGTATGTAATCATCTTTGTATACTGTTCACATGTAAGAATAGTGTATGATAATCGTGATGATGATAGTGTTCATGATAATTTTGACTCATGAAGGTATACTGGAAATAGATTTTTCTCATAGAAACACGACTTATTTGCTGCTGAAAATTGGAGTTAGTGATTGAAAATAAAAAGGAGGAAGAAATACTGATCAGTAACATAACTACGTGATAGATGTATGGTTGAAAGTCATATGAATTATTCATTTAGAAATGGGGAGAAATTTAATTCTTCGTGACATCCCACAAAAATTTTCCTTCAACAAGGAAAAAAAACCGTCTTCTCCATATTAGGATTGGAATGCATTATCGTCCAAACAATAGAAGGCAAAAAAAATAGAGGCAGCTCACTTCTTTAAGAACTGGAGCAGGTAAATAGCATATATATTGACCATCGGGATGCCTTTCACAATGCTGAAGATTATAATCCAACTCAGAATAGCGTAGAAAGGTGATCTCATTTGTTGTGGGAACAACTCCATCCTTCAAGTATCTTTGCCCCAGAAAAGCATTAATGACGCTAGATTTGCCAGAATTGAACTCTCCCTGGTGTTGTTAAGAAAGACAGGTATCTCAAGTAAGTTCCTGTGCAGCCTAAGAGACTAAAAATACACTTCGAACTGTTCACAAGTATGTGGGTTAAGCTTTTGAAGGGGGAAAACCAAAATACAAAATTAGATGGTGAGGTATGATAAATCAACTAACCAAATTGTTATTGCAAAAACTACTTGATATGCTATCTGAGGAACGAACAAGCCAGAAAGGAAAATGGAAAAAACCACAAAACATACTGTTAAAAGAGAAAATGTTCCTAAGTCTGCAACCGTGGTAGTTATCGTTTTTGAAAAATTATCCCTTCATGTCTTTTAAGTGTTTTCCCTTGTAAATGTAAAGGAAATTGACTAACTGGTAGAAAAATTTCATTTATAGGAGCACTCCTCTTCTGCCGTCCCTGTCTCCATACACGCGCACACATAATTCTGATTTGGGGGTTCTCTCCCTTCACCTAGACATTACTAAGATCGGAAACAAAAATTCAAGTCTAAATGCAGACGGGAATCAATCACCAGGGAAGCCATCACGCTACTACTTGTCTATTCAAGATTTCCTTAAACTATAAATATCTTTTGTGAGTAAGTTTGAAGTTGGTTTATTTGAAGGAAATTGGGTTGTGTTAACAACTAGGCTCTGGGTGGATTAAATATATCTTTGGAAAAGAAACTGAAAACCGATAGTCCCAGACTTTTAAGTATTTTGGCCCCCGGTAGACAGTCAGTTCAATCACACTGAACTAATAGAAAGCGATACCCAGGAAATACGGAAAAACAAGAAACTATGAAAGAGATGTCATATTTGCCCTATGTTCTGTATCGGCCCTGGTAGAACTGTAAAGTGGTTATCAAAGAGCCACATGAGTTGTGGCATTTATATCAGGATGCATTTGATTGCCAATATTTTTCATAAAAAATGTGTTTTTTCCACCTAATTTCCTATTTTTTTGTTATTTGATTGACAATTTTTTCCACGAAAAATATTTTCCTATTTTTGGTTATGTGACCATATTTTCCTTGAAAACAAAGAAAATATTTTCTTGAGGAAGATGTAGTTTTTATTTTCCAGGTAATTCACTCTCTCTTTCTTTCTCTCTCTCATCTATCCCCTCTCTCTCATCTATTCACAAATAGAAAATAGACAAGTATAATATTTTCTAGGTTGAAAATTAAATCTATCAAACACATTTAATTAATAATTTCCATACAAATAATTTCTAGGCAATTGAATTTTCTTTCCATGCAAATCCCATGATCTAAATCAAACGCACCCTTAATGCTTATCAATAAAGTAGTTTCCACACGAATATTCAAATTTTGCATGGTAAATGTTCCCATATATCTACTACATAAAGAGCAACACATCGAAATCAAGATTGAAGATATTTTGTACAACAATCAAGATTTGAAGAGAATCTTTCTGATCCAAATCAAGATTGAAGATATTTTGTACAACAATCAAGATTTGAAGAGAATCTTTCTGAATAACAGTTAAGAATAGAGGGCATTGCAAATAATTACAAGATTAATGCATAGCATTTTAATTTTCCGAAGAAAAATCCCTCATAAATTTGAAAAATTCAAGTTCAGAGTATACCAATCAAAGAAAAAAGAAATCATTTGAATTTTAGAGCTAATACCCACGTACATCCGTGCAACCAGAATTGGTTGGAGTTCAGCACACAATTACCACTATAACCAGTAAAAATGGCTCATCAAGTTGAGAAACAGCATCTCTGAGAAGTGAGATTTCCCCCATCTGCCATTTAAAGGTCAAAATTACAAAGGTTAGCCGTAACAAGGACACCATTCAGGTAAAGAAAATTTAATTGAAGAACTAATTCAACTACCAAATTTTAGCAATAAAAGATCACCAGTGGTGCAGCTCTGTGGATGGCATCTATAGTTTCAAGCAAAATTGCTCTCTCTTTTTCTATAAACTGTTGCTCCTTCTCGTCCAATTTGGTAAAGCCAGCCTTAGCCTTCTTACCAGGAAATCCATTATCAGTATCCAAAGTTTTGAGCCTATCGGAACTTTGACTTCTTTCCTCTGCTTTCTTATTTGATGCATAGTCACCATGAAACAGCTTGTTCAAGTCATCATATCTGAACATTTTCAACTCATCCACTGAAACCACTATGCCACTAGCTCCTAATCTTAGTAAATTCAAAGCTTTTTCAAACAATAACTCATCTCTGAGTGAATCGACTGTGATAAAAATTGGAATTTTTACACTCCCAAGTACAGTGTTCACCAGTCCCTCAGAATGACCATCACCTCTAACGCTATAAATGAGAAAATCAGCACCTTCGGAATTAGACGCATCTAATGCAGCATCTGAAGTTTGGACGTTTCTTGCCACCAAAGGAAGAACTATTGACTCAGTATTTGAACCCATCATTGTATTCCTTGCAACAATACTAGGGAGACCTGTCCAGATGGAAGAAAGATGACAATTACCAATGTGGTCACTTTCAGCTTGATGGATCAACTTCTATAAATAGATAAAGCTTGAAGAACTATTTGGAACTTGGGAAACGATTTCTTTTTCCTGTTTTACTTTTGATTTTTTTCCTTTACTTGGTTATGCAAAAAACTCAACATAAGTTGCAGAAAAAACCAGTTGAATCCATGCACTACTGTAGTTTTCATAATCCCAGACTATAATTTGAGACACTTTGATTTCCAGCTAAGTTTACATAACATTTAAATCAAGTTTCATTTTAGGTAGAGAAAATATGTGAGATAAATCATAACTTGACCTGCCAACAATCATGTACCTTGAATTATTTAAGCACCAAGTATTTCATTGCTAGATCATTAAACTACACATTCTAAATATTTGCTCATCCAACTACTAGATCATTCAAGCACTCGGGACTCCAAACCGCCATTATTATAATGATAAATTCAATGTGCATCCAGTAAAAATGGAAAACATCTATGAACCTCTTAAGCAATCCGGCCAAAATATGAGTGCTCACTACACAGTTGAAATAAGTGAATATGTTAACCTTGATCAGAAAGCAATACTCCGCTGGCATTAACAGCAGCTGCGATGTCAACGCGCTCATCAATTAACAAGTATGCGCGGTCCCTGATTACCGACTTCAGTAAACAAGCACGAAGCATATCGAAAAACGGTGAACCTCCTTCGCCATTAAGCACCACAATTCCAACTCTATCGGAGACTGCATTGTCAATTACGTCAAGAACATTATCATTGTCCCGTAAAACCTCCTCAGACCTCAACCTGAGCACGAGATTCGGGACCTTGATCTCAGGTCGCTTGTAGCCGCCTGGGAACAGAGTTCGTGGGCGGTTTTGGTTAATTGAGCTCGATACCGTAGAAGATTTGCTGTTTTCACTTGAGGCGGCTGAGGAAGCAGAAGAATTGGAGGGGATGAATCGATGGCGGGGTTTGAGTAGTGGAAAGGGGATGGATTTTGGATGGAAAAAGAGAAGTTGAGGTGGGAAATGGGTGGAGGTTACAGGGGAGAAGAGTGATGCTACCATAGATAATGGAGGAGTGGCGTTGGCCGTAGCGGAAACGGTAGCGGTAGCGGTGGCGGTGCCGAGGAGGAAGGGAGCCTTATCTATACTTTTTCGGTCATTCGAGTGGAGTACAGAGTTTCTCTCTTTATCTTTCCCTCCTGGGTTTGCGTGTGGTGGCTTATCTAAATTAAATAGAAAGATTGCACCACTAGTCCCCATTCTATTGTAAAACTAACAAGAGGAACAAGTTGGTACTAAATCTTTTATTATAATTGTACAATGAGTCATCGATGAAGAAAATTGATAAAATTTTGTTAAATTATCACTAATCCTCGTATTATTAACTTTATAGAGTTGTTGATGCCACATCACTGAATATGGATGGACCTATAACATAAGATGGTTGGCTTCAAAATGATGATTTGGTGTGGATTTTGATATTTGATATGAGCAGAATATGGTTTGATTATGCATCTCCTACTAACTATAAATTTGGAAAGAGTATTATTTCATTAATCTCTCTCCATCAGTTGATTTTAGAGTTGAAACTCGTATGTTTGATTCTTCAATGAAGAAAGGACGCCGAAGAATATAGGTAAACATTAGGGTGGATCTTTTGCACAATGAGTGTTGGCTCAAAATGAAGAGTGCTTTAGGTGGATGCTCGAGTGTAATCTTGGATTTTACTGGACTTGCTTATTCATCTCTTATTAGTTATAATTTTTTTGAAAAAATGATTACTATGTTTCATTTTCTATTTGAATCGGTGTCCAAGTATTTGAATGGAGGTTTATTTCTATGATGGACCAATAATGTCAATGAAATTTTGAACAATTTTCACGATTAGAGGGTAGTGTTTTGATTCTTAAAATGAATTCGATAATTTTAGTGGGAAAAAATCAAGAATACTTTATATATATATAAAGTGCAAATCATTTAAACAAGGTCAAGAATCGACCAGTCTCCTCTCTCTTTTTTGCCACCAATTTGATCCTTTGACGCTTGACCGATGCCTCGAGTCGATTTATTTGGCAATTACGATGAAATGTGGAAAACCACTTGTTCCTTTTAAAAGAGTATTGTTATTCATCATCGATGAGGTAACAAACACAGTTTAGGTGATTCTAGGCATTAAGTGATAAGTGAAATTAAATAAGTTATTTAATTTCACATTTCATTTAACCTATCATTTAAAGTCACATACAATGTATTTGTAACCCCAATGAAAATTAATAACATTACTCATTTTGAAAATGATCAACTTATTACTCAAACAATAGGTGAGGACCAATAGTGAAATGTTCTCTAACTGAATTATTATTTGCGGATTCCCGGTGTGGACTGTGACTGGTGTGTGAAGTGTGAACCACATGCTTAAACCCGCTACTATTTCTTTTCTTTTTCTAGGTAGGACCCCGACTCACAACCTCTTTCCTTCTTCAATTCGGTTGTGGAGAGGTGGGTGGGACCCGGGTTGGAATTGGTAATTTGGTGGGGGCCTTGGGGGTTGAATTGGGATTTAGCTATTGGGCTTAAAAGAGGACTGTTTTTTTCAACCATCTATGGACGCATTTAGCCCGTTTAATTTAGATAAAAATTAGATTTTTAATAAATTTTGATAAAAGTTATGAATTCCTTTTTTTTTAAAATAAATTATAGACTTTGACTTAAATTTTAATTATTTTTCAACTAAATTAAACATGAGCTTAATTTGAATCGCAAGTACCATATAACCATGTATATAAATCTTTGAGGTTACTTGTTTAGGATTAGACAATCTTTGTAGTAATAACACCGTCATTTCTTTTTGAAGCATACGAATTCTAATCAAAAGAAAATAGCCCTTCAAGGTTGAGTATGATAGTATATGAGAGGATCACATCTATTTGAAAAGTTAAGGTGATATCAATAAATGTTTTTCCCTAATTATACTTCGAGTCAAAAAAGTTTGACAGAAAAGTTTTGAAGAGGGATAATCAACTTTGCCAATATCTAGGGGCGGAGCTAGCCCGTTGAAATAGAGGGGTCCCATAGAAGGGGTGGGGGGCCCACGGGCTGCCCCTGAATTTTTTTTTGAAACATTATCTGTTAAAATGAAGGAAGTTGGTATTTTGTGATGAAGAAAGGAAACAAATAAAAATAAATTAATATACATTATTAACAAAAAAATTAAGAAACGTATAAAAGAAAGTATCACTCTTTAATTTAGCAAAATCATACTTTATTACAAGAGTTCCTTTCGAGTTCTCATACATTGATAACGTTGTATAACTACATCATTATCAATCATGTCGAATACATCCTTCTCACGGTATGTCTTGCTCCATTGTAACGAGATTTTCTTGTTATGATATTTAATTGACTTGCGTTNGGGAGAGAGAGAGAGAGAGATTAATTGGTAATGGCTAGTCCGCGAGATTGTGCTTGAAATTAAGAGTCTGTTTGTCTACCATTATGGGGAGGAAAATGGAGCAACGAATAGTATTTGTTAGAGAATGTGTGGTTGAAATTGAAAGTAACTTTATTGATTTATGTGTAGAATATTTTATTTGGTGAATATGTGGTGGAGATTGTTTACTTTAGAAAACATTTTTTTAGATAATGGTTGACAAACAGAGACTAATGTGTGACAAATGATGCAAAAATGTGGCTGCTGGGATTCGAGCCCAGGTCTCCACGGCCACAACGTGGAATTCTTACCACTAAACTACAGCCACTTTTGTAGTTTTTTGGCAGAAAATTTTATATACCGCTTTAGAGACAAGTGCATCCAATATTGTTCACATCATAACGAGTACTAATCCCAAACAAGGTGATTCTACTTATAATCCCCAGCATTGTCATATCTTCAACACCTTAGCATCAACAACACTATTTATAAAAGATTATTTTACGCATAACTAAGATTAAAGCACATCTCAAATTTAGAAAGTAGTTTTTTATACGCTCCAACGATACTTTCGACTTTAACTCTTCAATTTACTTGTACAAAAAAATATTTATTGGTTACTATTATCTTTTATTTAACATATTTTCTTGTCAATAACAATCAATTCAAATATGATTTGAATAATTTAAGTATTCTATTAAATTTTATAGGTTATAAATATAATCATAGTAAGAAAGATTAACTCACAAACCAACTCCATTTAAAAAAAGTTAAAATAGAATCTCATGACATTTATTTTAAATTAAAATAGAGAATATCTTGTAGTTAAAAAACTATTTTGGAAGTGTTCTAAATTTCATACAAATAGAAACCCACAACTTGATTTGACAGCAAGAACATAAGTTACACTAGTCATTTCCATTTGTACAGATGAACAAAAGAGAGTTTAAAACCATAATGCATGTGAAAGCGCATGCTGCATTCCTATTTTAAATCCAGGCCTGCAATTTTCACCAAATATGCCTGCTGCGCTGAGGTTGTGGATCAACAGAAAATGTTCGGCAAAAATATAGCCACACTGTATCTAAGATCCTAACACGTACAAACTGCACTCTGATCCAACTTCGTGCGTGAATCCACTAAAAAACCCTGCATTCACTAGTTCTACCACATCGAACACTTCATGCCAAGACCGTTGCAAGTTAAAATAAGACCCTTGTAACGATGGAGGTAATCCTGCATCTCGAAACAACAATAAATGAGGAAAAAAACAAATGACTTTAATATTCTGATGAACCACTGAAATTGAGAAGAAAAGGATATTGTAAAGTTACAAAACAGAGAAGGTATCTCACAATGACATTGTTATCATAGGCAAAAAGCATCCCTTTCTCATCGTATTCTCGTCGTTTCACAGGATCGCTCAAAACTGTTTCACAGAATTGAGAATTTCAAAATCAGTTATATCATAAATGTCAACGTGTAGAAAGCTTGTTAGCAATTCATGTCTAAGAAGCTACCAATTACTCACAAAAAGAATAATCAGTCCCTGACAAGAAAACAAAAGCGAAGCCTCATCCATTCTAATTGGCTTCATACACGTTAAGCAATATCATATAGACAAATTTGATATGGCTGCATATCTTTAACAGACTGGCATTGTTCTAAAATGGCCAATGATAAACTTTGAAGAATCATAACAGACACGATTTCATTTCAGCACTGTCCCCAGTTGGATCATGTTTTTGTGAGCTGCCTGATGTGGGTACTTTGAGTGGAAAGAAACAGGGTGATTCATGGCAGTAACATGAGGGAGGAAGCTACTTTATCTGAAGTGGCAGTAGAGATGTTGCAGGGCGACAGGGATCAGCTCAAGCGCAGTTTCTACATCGAATGTGTGCGCCTGGAAACCTCCAAATCCAGGTGACCGGAAATTGAATACAGATGAGCGCTACAAGTAGGAACAGGTTTGGTTGGCTTAGGCTCGGTGATACGAGACCATATGGGTGTGGGCCATGTGGCAGCACGAGCTCAGAGAATGATTGGGAATGTCACATCAGAAGATGGCGAGCTATAGCTCTCAGGGAAGGCCTACTGCTTGCCAAGGAGACCGGTTTTCAACAATTGCAGGTAGAATGTGACGCGCTCCACGAAGTCTGAAGCATAAATTCTGATTTTAGTGTAGCGCCAAATGCTTTAATTTTGTCAGATATTGTAAATTTAGTGGGGGAGTTGGGTTGTGGTTCATGTTGCATTGTATCCAGGATAGTCCACGAACTTGCATCCTTAGTTTTAGATACTTCTCGAGATTTCAAATGGAGTGATTCTATTCCTATATTTATTTTGCCCATGGTTCGCGGCAATATTCAAGTAATGGTTGCTTGGGGTTCGAGAGAGAGAGAGAATGTGTGTTTCTAAATTCTGTAACCCATACAGAGATTTGGGGGAAAAGCAAAATTATTTCGCATGCAGAAATCCCTGAAAAATGAGTTCAACATATTCCCGGGAATAATCAGAAGAGTTAAATATTCCACAAAGTATTGTAAGTTCTCAAAGTAAATCGCTTCAAATTCATTTAAATCATAATCAATATCTAAATCATTCTTCATATCATCAATTCTTACTAACAAAAACAAAAATCCTGAACATGAATTCAAGTCAACTTATTTCTTCTTGTTGAATTAATAAAAGAATAAACACTCCAACTCTGTTCACAAATATATCCTGTAAAGGTATATTTTAAATTTTAAAGTATGCAAAATTTTTTGAAATAAATAAGTCATAATTCTAGTAAAAACTTTAATTACTCTATAATATTTTTGTTGTGCGAGGGGTAAATATCACACAACAAAGGATGTTCTTAGTTCAACTGTTCAGGAGAACAATTAAGTTTACTTCCTGCTTGACGTTAATTTTCATTCGTTGTCAAAGTTTTCAAAATTTTTGAAATTCCCAATTTTATAAAACATAAAAAAACTACAAAAGTTCTTCAGAATTTTCAAACATTTTATAGAATTTCCGACAGTTTCAGCCTCTGAACAAAATGGCCGGCCTTTTAGAAGTTTCTGCACAACATAGAAATGCAGACTCACAGGTTGTGCCAAAGAAGCGCTTATTGATTGATTAAAATCTATCCGTCACAAGAAATGCCAATGTTGCAATTCCTCCCATCCTGATAAAGCAAGATATTTCTGATCCTTCATAGAGAAGATATACAATAGATGTTTGTAATCGATCAAGGACGGATCCAGACCGGATTACAAGCCGGGCTAATATGTAAAAAAAAAAAAAAAAAATGGCAGAGGGAAGGGGGGCCCAGCCCCCCCTAAATCCGTACCTGTAATCGATCATTTATCACTTGGAGGTGGAATAATAGTATTTCATTGCTAAAAGTGTGGGTTATTGAAAATAATAAACTATGTATTTGTATTTCCCTTCAACCAATCATGTCAAATAAATGTAGAGTTGAGTTGAAGGGGACAAAAAGGAAGAAGAAGAAGAAGAAAATACCTTGGTAAGCCTCGTTGATTTCTTGGAATCTTGAAGTCGCACTGTCCTCATCTTTTTGCTTATCCGGGTGCCATCTCTACGCAACGACACGGGAGGAAAATTTTTTTTTAATCAAATAACAATTCGATAACTTGGCTTACAATTGGAGAGAGAGAAGTCGCAGAAAAATATACTTACCAAAGCAAGACGGATATAATTGGACCGAATAACTTCCTCTGAGGCATCAAAATCCACTTCCAATATTTTATAATAATCCTAAACGCCCAAATTGAAAAGAAAACACAATTAACAAAAAAAACGAGAAGGCAAAATCGGTGAAATTTTCAATAAATACAGTTAGCAAACGCAAAATTGAATATATAATACCTTTGGCTTGTATAAAACTGAAAAAAAATCGAAGTTGACATCATTGTCGCCTTCCGATTCTTCGTCGTTGTGGTGTTGGAAATAGTCGTAAAACTCTTCCCACATCATTTTCCTTCTCAAGAATAACGAAAATTAGGTTTCTGCACCCCAAATAGGTGGGAATTGAAAATTCTGGGTTTTCTAGCTGAGTAAGTTGGATTGGGGAGGAAAGGAAAATGGTGGGAAAGAGGATAATGGACTGGAAAATTAAATTCATTTTTCTTATTTTGTCCAGACTTTACGCTTTCAATCCAGATTCTTCTTTAGTTGGGCCTGGAAATTGTAACATTTTTTGAAGAATTATAGTGGTCTTGATTGTGGGTTCTTGGGCCTAGTGCGTTCCGGGATCAAACAGTTGTAATCGGGCCTTCAAATAGGATTGGTGCCTATTTTTGTAGTATGCTTCCTGGGCTATAAACTCATAGAAAAATATTTTGGACCATCTGCATTTCTCAATTCACAGAATTTTAAGTTTTTTTACTTTTATTTTTGTGAAAATTACATGGAGCCCTACTTTTGGAGATCCAATTTCTAAAATCAGATTTTAAAGTTTAAGTTTCAAAAATCAGATATTTTATATATACATACATGTTTTTTATATTTAATTAAATATTAATAATAATACTATAAAAATTAATTTATAACCCCACCCAACCGTAAATCCCCAACTTCTCACAAGTCCAGCATAAATCCCTCACCCGTCCCCCATCTCTCTATCTCTCTCTCT